TCGCCATCACCGGAAGCGTTCAAAAAACGTGCGGATATGGCGCTTTACGACATGGTTTAGGGGACATGGTGGCGCTGGATTAATGGTTGGACTTGATGATCTTGAAGGTTCTTTCCAAGCTTAGTGATTCTGTGATTCTTTTAAAAAGCTGGAGAAGGGAGAATATGTTGCTGAGAAAGGAGAGCACAAGTGTTCTAGCTTTGCATAATTTAGCGTTGTGGGTTTAAGTTCAAAGACTTAATTTTTTTTAAAAACAGAAAACTTGATCAGGATGCGTAAGTGTATGAGAGAGAAAACCTAAATGGAAAAAATTAGCAAAGTATCAATTCTCTACATAGTTTCCTCAACCTTTGTCCAGAATTTGCTTTGGTATAGGGCCTTTTATTTTATTGAGGACAATACATGCTTTCTAGGGAACAGGAAGGAACATTACACAATTTTCGCAGCTTGGCAGACCTCAGTTTTTATACTCAGTCCTTTAAAGAGCATTCTCCTTTTGCATGTTGACTTACTGATAGTGAATGGAGATTACCTACATGCAGATGGAGATGTATAGGAGATGTACAAGAGTCTGAGAGCATCGAATCTACCACCAAGTGCAAAACAAATAACCTGTCTAACCCTTATGCATGTAGACCTTCTCCAAGGAGTTGAGGAATACAAATTAAAAGACAGAAATATTAGGAGTTTGCTTTCATGAAACACTCTGCCCTTGTCATTTATATATATATATATAAGAAGAAATATTTAGGTGATCTACAGATAACTGGGAAGGTTATGGAAGAATGAAAACCCGGCTAAGAAGTGAAACACCAGGCCTCTTTATTGCTGTGTAAAATGTCAATGCAGTGGGGCTGTGAGTTTTTTCTGAAAGATTTAGATGCACTAGTTTAAGTATTTTCTGTATGATATGGTGCATGTACAGTAATGCAGAGCAGTTGCTTCCCCCAGAAAATAAATTTGAACTTCAGGCCAGAACATGTTTCCATTAAAAATGATCACTTTAACAAGAGAGCAGGAAATCTGGGCAGCAAGACTGTTACATTCTTGCTGGGACTAGTGTAGTTGGAATTATGTGCTGTTGTGATACTTCTTGATTTCCAAAAGAACCTTTGGAAAACACTTAGTTACATTCAGTATCTTTGGGAGCAAGTAACTCTCTTGGTTAGTTTGGGTGAGTTCTGACTTTTGAGAAGACTTCTTTAAGACAGATGCATCTGAACTACAAAAACACTTTTGCCTTCCCATGAAGTGAGAAATACTTCCAGTAAAAACCATTACTAAGCTTTTAGGCAATTGCTGTGTCCTACAACTTGTCTAACACTGGCTAAGGAGCTAGGGGTGAAAGAAGGTGTACTAAACTTCTGTGCACCCATCTGAGAAGGTGAAAAGTCGTGCCAGATCCTCTTGGCTGTCAAACTAAGAAGTCTGTATAGGAATGTAGGACAAGGTCTGGGTTATTTTTCTGAAGGGATACTTCCTCCAAATGACAGTGCTGCCTTTGGGCAGTATTTATGTTCCCTTCTTAACAGCAGAAGAAAAATTAAAAAAAACCCCACAACAGCCTATTTGCTATAGACAAGGTCTTATATCTTGGTCTAACCTCTATATCCATTCTGAAATTGTATTTGCACTTGTTATCCATCAAAGCATCCTCTGATGAACTGTGTTCTGTTAGACAGTAGTGAAGATGCTTTACTGCTTGTTTTTTTACATTGATGTTTTTAATAATGTATTATGTACTTCTATAGGTTTGTGTCATTTTGCCAGCAAATTATATTAGCTGTTAAATTATATTCACTTCCTTGCTTTTATTTTGAAACCTAAGATAAAAATTGCTTTTGTCATTAAAGCTGTACACACATGCACACACTCGTTGTCTGTGATGTTCTTGGATCTCCCTAGGCATATACCTCTGCTTCTGTTCTTGTTCAGGTTTGAGTTGGGTTGAAAGTAATAGAGGCGCTTGTTCTTAGGATTTCTTTCTTTTTTTAGAACAACAAGCATATTGTTATACAACAAAGACATTGGTGCTTGCTTGCCTGTCATGCACAGATCACCTTTCTGTTCAATCCAATTCTATGTGTTTCATATTCTCATGTCTTTTATTGCCTGTAAAAAATGCCAATATTATGACTAAGAGACTCTTTTCTCGCTCTAGGACCTGTTGTCTACTTTGTAGCCTTTCTCATTTAAGGAGTAGGGCTTCAGGGCAAGAAGTATATGTTGTGTTGAGTCTTCTGCAGCTCTGATCTGTTTGGCAGAACCTAACAACTTATTTATTTCACTCTTAATTTAATCTTAAGGCATTTAACATCTGTCTAACAAATTCTTACCCTAGAGTGCTCACAGTTTACACTTACTGCATTAGCAGAAAGTCTACCTTCCCTGGCCCCAGTGTTGAAGGGCACTGAAAATTCATTTTGCTGGATTAAATTTCTGGTACCTGCTTTAGTAGTTGGGGAAAGGGTGTGTTAAAACTCAATAAATCTGGGTGAGGCAGCTTGTTTGCTAATAAATTCAAACATCGGATAGAAAGCACAATAGACAAGGTTTAGGAAAGGGTTATGGATTCCAGTTTTAGAGTGTTACTCTCTGTTTCATTTTGCAAGGCAAAAACTGCACTGTGATCTTGTCTGATGTGATTAACATGAAGAGCCAAGAAAACTTACCTGATTAGAATAACTAAGTAATATTGCCAAGCTTGTATTCCCAGAAGGTAGGAAAAAAGGGGCCATATGAGTTTCAGAGTTATGGAAAACACTGAGAAAATGGATGTTAAAATGTGCTTTAGGCAGTTTGCTCAACAATACATCAGGGAAACTTCCAAGTCTACATAGCGATTACCCGATCGCTGAACATATTATTTAATTGTAGAACCACTTATATTCCATCTGTATTTCTCAAACCCAATCTTTCCAGATGTCTCAGACCAGTTTTATAGGCACCAGACACATTAGGGAACAAAAGACTTTCCAATATATACTCATATTATCAAACATAGTCGCTAACTCTCACCAATATCAAATGTGCATCACATGTTAAATCCATGTTCCAATATTGAATCCTTTTGTCAGCAGTTTGTGACTTTCATAACTCACTTCAATTCTTCAGAGGTCTCAAATATTGTCAGTTTCTAGAGTTTAATAGTCAAAACTGTCAAGCACACAAAATATTTTCAAAGTGATCTCTGAACAGTTCAGTGTAATTATTTTTCACATGTTTTAATGAAAATGGCTTCATGGTTCTACGTTTCCTTTCCCTAACTGAGTCACTCTGAATCATGCTGCTGTGGAGGAGTCTGCCTGGGAAAATGGACTAGAATTACTTTTCAGCATGGGTTGGGGGGATGGTGGCCGCAGGATGTCCCTTCCTCGAACTTTCTTAGATAAGAGATGAATCCACGAATCGTACTCACTATACTTGGACCCAAACCATGTTAGCTCTTTGAGAAGCAGGTTCAAGTATCCAGAGCATCTCCCCTATTTTCTGCTGCTTTTCTTTCAGATCCATTTAGAAGCTTCTGAGTCCTAAAGGCTGCAGCCAGCAATGTCACAGCTAATTACTTTACCTTCAACTCATCAACTTCATGACACAAAGTGTATATATTAGTGGTTTTTTTCCTTTTTGCTCTGAAGAATTTTTGCATTTTACTCTTCTACAACTGTTGAGATAGATTTAAACTTTGTCTTGTAAACAGCTTTCCTTGACCTCGCCATACCCCCTACTATGCGTACACAAAGAGCATGTAATGGTTAGCTATTTGTATGCAATTTGAAAGAGCCAAGATAAACCCCAAAGAAGGAAATGCTGAAGGAATCATAAATAATATGTTGTTTGCAAGGGGAGAAGGAAACTCCATGAACTGAGTGTTGGAATATGATCTTGGATCGGTAAATGGCTTGAAACAGATGTAGGTATTTATGGGAATGGTATACAGGAGATTAAAACTTATTGAAATACCTGTTAAAGAAAAAGACTGAAACACAGTGGTCTCTAAAATCTCCTGTGAAATCTTATTAGGCATTTCATTCCATTTCTGAAATGTAGCTTTCTGTGAATTAACACTGAATTTTTCTACTGAAATTTCCATGAGCCTTTCTAATTTTCTCTCTCATTTGCCTCAGCATCGTGAACTCGCGTATCTCCAGACAACTGATCACATGTGAACAGCAAGTGTTCATGATACTGTACTTCTCACAGGGGAAACACTTTCTGAAATTTTTATATCACTGAGTTAATTTATGTTGTTCAATAAATCATAAATGAATCATGTACTTCCTCCCAGAAGGAGTGCAGTTCACTATTTTGGATTCTGTATTTTCTTTTGACACTATATTAAACTACGTGAAGGGGGGATAGAAGTAAAACTTTTGCTTTATTCACCTTGTGAAGTGAGAGGGGAGAACTGGAAGAACTGATAGGAGAAGAGTGTATTGAAAGCATGGATGGTTTGCCTTCACTAACCAGCTTTCTGTCCTGGACCCTTACTAGGTGTTGGAATTCAGTAAATAAGATTTAAGATGTTTAAAAAAAAAAAAAAAGCAGTCGTGGAATGAACATTTGGTATTGTGACCTATGTAGTCAAAATGACCGTTCTGGTGACACAGGGCAGTGAAGATTTGGCAAACTACAAGGTCTTGAGAAGAGTCTTAGTGAATCAGGCAGCCCAAGATTACACAGAAATAAATAAAATATGTGCTTTGCTGGATTAGGGCCTAATTAAATAATTGTCAAGTTGTTCAGACTTGTGCATATCAGCTCAGTCTGTTTATTTTTCCACGTTTGCAATATTTTTGAAACTTATTGCCCTGATATCAAACATGTGCAAGCCACAAATTAACTTTCATGCTGTATCTACAGATTAAAAGATTTTAAATGTATTGAAAACACAATCCAAACCAGTCATGACTTTCTTTCCCTTACTTGTTTTTTCTCAGAGATTGGCAGTCAGAAATTCCACAAATACAGCCAAGAGAAGACGCTGAAGTGGTTAAAGAAAAAGGTATTGTGTTTCTCTTTTGCTTTCAAAATTGCTTTATGTTTAAAATGAAAATGCTTATTAGCTTGTCCATATCTGCATATGAGCCACGTGGTATGCCTTAGTTCAAGGGACGTGTTCTGTCCAAGAAGGACAGACATCACAGTAACGTTGTTGCACTTGGGAATGTGACGTATTAGAGAAATGACGTTTGTCACGTTTCTCTTTCTGATGGGGCTGGCATGAAAGGGATTCATGGAGTGTGAGGAGGCAGAAGCAGCTTATAAGTTCAGCTTATCACTGTGTTCTGTAGGGTTTGCATAAGGTGAGGGGCTTGTCTTTTACTTCATCCACTTCACAGATGGACTAGAGGAGAGCTTTGACTGTTGCAACTTTGAAATTCTGCCGTGCTTTAAAGCTGGACAGAAATGCCTTGGTTTTGTGCTACAAACGGGTTTCCTTGTGAAGTTTTGGCAAAGTGTCTCAGAGTGGTCCTGGTATGGTTGCTGCTATCTTGATCCAGTCACGCTGTTCAAGAGTCTGTACAGTAAGCAGAAAATAGTGTTACAGCTAAGCTTGATGAGGTCTGTGTTTTGGTATAAAGAAGATGAATCTCATTTTACACATACATATGTGCCCCTACTATGATACCACTTTGTAGAAAAAGATAGTATGCATCACATGATATAAGGAAGCCTTGTCATTTAAATGAGTCAATGCAAGCACAAAATCTGGTCTGTTTTCTGCAATGATAAGGCATGGCATTATCTATTTTGCAATGAATACCTTAATATTTACATTTGAACAGGTACCTGTTGGTGTTGTTGAAAATACCTTCTTCTGCCAGTTATCTCTCTGTTAGATCCATTATAGCAGTGCCCTGTAAAGTCCTTAATCTTTGATTTCCATCAGGGATGCCTTTGCAATCCAGTTGAGCTCAGGCATGCTCTATTCTCCAAGCAGGTGTATTTTTCACCTGTATAATCATGGCTGTTGCATCTGAGTAGCTCGGCTCATCTTAGGGTGCTGTAAAACTGATGCTGTGTTGCCAAGGCAACATGTTCAAAGACATAGTAGTTTTCTTTGGGTTTTTTGAGCTCATATGCTAGTCATTACAAATGTATATTAAGTTTCACCACAGTCCATAACTTGAGTGTTTTATATGCTTGAAACAAAATTACAAGAGCTTTGTCACTGCATTAACATGTGCATAACAACACTGATACAGACATTTCATTCTGTGGTTTCCTACAGGTCAATCAAACAGTGAAAGCACTTAAAAGCAACAATATAACTGTAGGTGAAAGGGTATATGCAGCTACATTTATCAGTGGTAAACAGATCACAGATACTAAAGAAGGTAAGAAAACTAAACATTGTAATGAATTCCATTTTTGTGAAATCACATACGTGGAGATAAAACATATGATTAGAATTTAAGATGTATTGAAATTGGATTTTGCATTAAATTTATTCCTTGTACAGAAAATTCCATATGTATTGTGACTGTGTGCCTTGACTTTTCTGAGTTCTTTGGTATCTTCATCAGATGACGTAATTAACATTAGGCCTCAGCTGGGGTTCTTTTAGCTTCTCCTTAGTTCAGTTGCCCTTGAACAATAGGACACATGCTTATAATATGTATGAGTATTCACCCAATAAGCGTATCTGTATTAGAAAACATTTCTTTTTTATTATTTTTTTTATTAGCAGGCAAATGCTCTTCATAGAATTATCCAAAAACAGAAGGAATCTCAGGAAGGCATAGTCACAGAGTAAAAGCTCCTGGTCCAAATATTGTTTTATGTGACAAATGTGTAGAGTACATAAGTGTGTGCTTATTAAGGGCAAAAACTTCAATAATATGTGTATTAAGTTGCCCTGAAAATTGACAATCCCGGTACCAAGATGTCTGGAGTGATCCTATTTGCTTCTAGTCACCTTTTCCCTGGGGAGGGCAATGTCCTGAATGTTACTGGGGTATGAAGTTGTGTAGAGAAACCTGAAAACGGACTTGGAATAAGTTCTTGGGATGTTAATGAAAATTAAGAAAAGTTTAGAACAAGATGAACAAAAGCAAATTGTTTCTTATTACAAAGACATTCAGAAGTCTGCATGCTGTTGAAAAATAAGGAGAAACAAAGCAATTTGCTGACAAAGTGGAAAATGAGTTACCAAGTAATGATATCAAAGGAAACAACATAAATGAGATTTAAGAGGCAACTGGACAGTTTTATAGAACAGAGATTGTAATATATGGTTTTGAAAGAGGCAAAGCTGCAAAACTTGTAAGTGACTTTAACTTTACAGTAGCTTTTCATCCCTTTCTCCACCCCCATTTTTTTAAAGAAAGGGAAAATTGTCCTGACAGTAACCGTCTTGACTATGCTGAAATACTTTATCTCTGAAATTTGTAATTAAATAGCTCATCTGCTATCAGTGTTTTTCTCCACCTTCCTCCTTACTTATAGTAACATGGATATAATAGTCTTTTTAAAAGCCTTTTTTAGATTTGAGAAAGCAGCATTGAAATGGGGAACACTGGATGTTAGAAGTAGGTAAATTTTGGAGGCAGTCCCACTGTATGTAGCAAGGTGAATGACAGGAAGTCAAATGGACCTTATTGAACACTTGTTTTTAATAAGACTAATTTTCGTCTGATCCTTCCACTGCCATGACAGTGCAATTTATTTCTGTAGAGAATTGTTTTCATAGGGGTATTATGAAATTTCAGTACCTTATAAGTAGATGGGTATATGTAGTTAGCATCTACAGATGTTGTAGGGCAAAAATCTGGGAGGATATAATGAGGAAGAGGGAGAGGTTTAACATGTGAGACCTGAATATTTCATTCAGAGGACAAAGAAGGGAGGTGCACAAGTATTCCTGATATTTGACTTTGGGTGAGAATGCTGACTCCCTAGAAGGCAAGCAGTGGCAAAGTCAGTGAAGATTGCTTCAAGGCAGAGATGCAAAGAGAATAGATTTTGTATTTAGTACAAAATAATAGCAGTTGACTAGGACTCACGATTCAGTGTCATAATGCAAAGAGTGAAATGATGGGAATATTTTTCTTAAGCGATACTTTGGACATATTATGTGCTGAGGGGAAATTGTATCGGATTGGAATTATTTCTTGTTCTCTCCTGACCCTAAAGTGGACTTAGGGAGTGACAAATCCTTGATGAATCTAGGCAGTGGAGGAGGGAGAAGTGCAGACAGGAGATATTAAGAATTTGATATCAGTATAGTTGAAATGCATATGCTGGTGTCAGCTTGTTAATGCTTTGTGCTTCAATGCCAGTTTGCATTGGGCTTTTTATATTTAAAAAAAAAAAAGGAGACTATCACTGGCACAGATGAAATAGTTCTTTACCACCCTGAGGCTAGTTTACCACGTGCTTATGAACTCTCCAAGTGTGAGCATATGAACAGATAGAGCTGGCCTGTTGTAGATGGAATTAAGAGGCGAGATTTTAGCTTAATGTCTGTCTGGCAAATAATTCCTATGCATGGGTGCAGTTACTCCCTAGCAGCCCAAATAACAGCAAGTTTTAAAAGTACTTGTGTAGAATGTGACCAGAAAAGATCTGGTTTAGGACTTCATGTTATAAAAGGGTAGCTTTTTTTCCCCCAGTCTCTCAGAAAAACAGTTTTAGCAGGAGTGCCCTGTACTGCAAACAGCTTCTAGTAGTTCATATTTCCACAGATAATTATCCTGTCTTGCCAGTGATGTTTAGATAGGCCTTGGCATTTTCTGTAAAGTACTCAAATTAAGTACAAGACTTTGAAACAGACTCATTGTCTCATCTAATTGTTTTCAGTTGAAGCCAGAAAATGTACTTTAATACTGAAGCCCTTGCCAAATAATTGTAAGATCCAGATGCTTTAAAATTAATGATTGCGTGTTCTGTTGAGTCAGCTTTTTACTTTTGCAGGTTTTTAAAATTTAATTTATTCGGAAAAATACATGATATCTAGTATTCTCAGAAAGTGAACAGCTTTTGTAAAGTACATACAGCAAATATTAATAACATGTGCTGACAAAGTGAGTGTAGTAAGTCTTTACTTTTTAAATAAACCTACAAGTGTCATATAACATAAACTACTCAACACAGAGAACCATCACAATGTACCCATTAGAAGGCTCTTACTATTAATTCAACCTTATGATTTATGGTAGTTCATGCAACATGGCTAAGGCAACATGACTATATAATGTGAATGTTATTTTTCTTCTTCATCCCACTCCCTGCCGTGTTCCTGAAGACTATGTACGGTATGCCCATGGGTTAATATCAGAATATATTCCTGAAGATCTGAGTAAAGAGTTGTTAAAATACTTAGGGTAAGTATTGTTCCAGCTAACTGCTAGTTTTATATGGCATGCGTTAATGTCCATTTCTGTTGTATACTGAGATTTGTTCATCAGGGTTGCAATGAATGACACAATGAGATTATATTTGCCACACTTTAAACGTGATTTTTTCAAAAGTAGATTATGCCTTTCTGTTGTTCCTATAATGCTAAGGACCATGGGCTGGAGGAGAGTTGTAATATATGTCCGATATGTCTGTTATCACAATTGCACTATGAAACCCTGAGCAATGTATCGCATTTTGAAGCAAGGCAGGAAAGGAAATCCAAAGAGTTAAAGCAATTTTTCCAGAATTGTAAAGCAAAGCATGAGCAGCAGAGCCAGGAGTAGAATCTTCATCCCCGGTCCTCTTTCCTTTTCTGTATTCACTCAGTGCTGCTGGGGTTTGACTTCACATATCTAACCTGTGTTAATTTATATTTAAATCCGGAAGGTGAGCCAGCATCCTCATTCTGGTGTTCCCTGCCAGCAGCAGACTTTGCTTGGAGCATTACTGGGACCTTGCACCTGCCCTAGTTCAGTTTTGTTCAAAGGGTTCCGTTATGATGACCTATGTGCAATTTGCAGCTTGAAGACCCATAGCTTAACAGTTTCATTGAAAAGATGTTATGTGCTTTATAATATCGCCTTACTAATAGCTAAGGTTTTCAAAAATAAGGTGGAGTTCTCCTGTTTTGGTTGCCAAATCTAAGAACTTTTAAAAGAAGAGCCCATGTTTCTGTATGATGCATGGCTCTGTTTTAGTTATCTAAGTCAGAAATACAGAGTCCATAAGCTGCTTTTTCTTGCAAATGCATGCCATGTGTGAGCAGCTGATAACCACGGAGCCTTTGTGGGGAAGGAATTATAAGCTTTAGGTTGTGCAATCCAGCTGTCTAAATTTATAACTTAAAATCCTTTGTTCTGTAGACTCCCAGAACTTAAAAGCTCGTCACCAGAACCACCATCGAAGGTAGGAGAACATTAATATATTGACAGATATATTGTGTTGTAAGCTAATTTCTCTGAAGTATTATTATTAAAACTAGACAAGGCCAAGCACTGCGTACAATACAATAAGTAAGTTGACCTTGTGAAAAGCCAGTCTGAAATAACACAAGAAATTTACCAGGTATTTCATAACTTCATATTTTTAAATAAGGAATATTTTGGTTGGTTTTCCTGTTTAAAAAACAGGAGGGAAAG